CCGGGAGCAGAGAAGCCTCAGAGGGGATCTGAGCAGTGCTGAGCAAGAGCTAAAGGGCCGCGGGGGGCAAGAGGCTGGGGCCAGACTCTGCTCAGTGGTGCCAGGGACAGGACAAGGGGCAACGGGCACCAACTGGAACCCAGGAGGTGCCACCTGAGCAGGAGGAGAAACTTCTCTGCTGGGAGGGTGGCAGAGCCTGGCCCAGGCTGCCCAGAGAGGCTGTGGAGTCTCCTGCTCTGGAGAGATCCCAAACCCTCCTGGCTGTGACCCTGGGCAGGGTTGTGGGGGGCCAGAGGAGCAGGAGGAGTTGCCCTTTCTGGGAGAGGGCAGCTGGAGTCAGGAGGACATGGGCACCATGGCTGTGGGCATCTGCTGCAGGGTGCCTGGGCTGGGTGACACAGAGGACGAGGCTTCTTCCAGGCAGCTGGAGATGTGCACAGGCTCTGTCCTCTTCAAACACATCCCCCAGTTCTAGTTCCAGTCCTGAGATCCCCTGATCATTGCAGGAGTTTCAGAATCATCCTGAAAGTTCTGCCCTTTGGATGGGGAACTCAGGAGATGGAGCAGCACTGGTACAGGAATGGATTTGGGTGAGTTGGTTAATAAGGGCACCTCTGCCAGCATGCAGGTGGAGGAGTTTGGAGGGTTCCTTGATTCAGAAACAGAGTACCAGCAGAAACAGTCCTAAGATCTGAAGGCACTGTAAGATACCTTTGGAAGGGTTAATCAGTGTCCTGTGAGGACACACTGATGGCTTTAGTCACCTGGCTGTTTTTGTGGAAATGAACTCAAAGCTGGACTCTCTTTTGAGAGAGGATTAATGTCTTTTGAAGAGAAAAGGGAGAGAGGGGCTGAGACTGCAGCCTAAGGAGGTTGGACTGATCAGGTAAGATCAGCTGAGGTGGCAGAGGAGGTCCAGGCCAGCTTCAGCTGTAGTCAGGTCTTACTTATTTTACACATAGGGAGTGCCAACATACTCCTTGGAGAAAGCTGTTTAAGGGAAAAGACAGAAACAAAGTAAGATAGCTGAGATCTCAACCTTGTTGTTAACTTTATAGCCTTTTTGTAGCTTGGAGTAGATGTCTGAGGTGTTTAGTTTTCTCCCTTTTAGTGTCTTCAAAGAGCAGTTAGAAGGTCCAGGATGTCAGGGAAGTGATGGCCCTTGCTCTTCACAGCTCTCCCTGCAGCTGGAGCTCTAGGAGAGTCTGCCTGTCCTCTGCAGGAGGAACCTCTGGAAGGTACTCTGGGTCTGCTTTAGAGAAAGAGCAGGTTGTGTTTCAGGTACTTCTCAGCCTGGGAAAGGTTGAGAGCCTCTGACCTCACCGTGGAGGGAGGGCTGTTCCTGGAAGATGGTGTCTGCACATCCACTCTGTGTGTGGGAGGGGAAACAGGAGTTATTTCATCACTCCCTGGTGCCTCCATCTGTCACTGACGTGAGACCTTGTCACTCCTTCAGGGCCACGAGCCAATATTTACTTGGAATCATTCTGCCCATCCCACTTCCCAAGTGCCAGTTGTCCTAGTGTTCAATGCCCATCTTGTCTCCTCTGAGAAGTATTCCAGAGTCCTTCTAGAGCTCTTCCAACACTCGTGATGTATCTTCCCCATCATCCTGCTTTCCAGGACAGTACAAGTTATCTGTCCATTCAGTTTGTTACTAGAACTTCAGTTCTGTTTCTCCTTTTCTGTGACTGGAACTTCCTTGGTGGTTTATCAGCCCTCACCACTGGTGCTGTTTATGGTCAGGGAGAATGACTCAGGACGTTTCTGTCTAGCAACAAGTTGCTCAGAATCCCAGCAGCTTTTGCCCATGTTTATGCACCTTCCTTTGGCCCTGTGCACCCCTAAACCAACGTGCAACCACCAAACCAATGCTCAGCCACCTTACTGCTGACAGGGGGGTCACGCTGAGATCAGCACACTGTGTCTGTTGTGGACTGCAGGTTCTCTGACTCCTGCCTCTGTCACTGTGGCAGATTTGGGAGGCAGGGATGGGGGATGCAGCACTAAGCTGGAGGAACTGCTGCTGACATCAGCCATGCTGTGCTCTAACCCTGCAAGCCACCTCCTGTGTTCCTGGGGACTTAATTCCCTCATAATTTAACCCAGCAAGCCTCCTTCTGTGCTCCTGGGGACTTAATTCCCTCCAAACTCCATCCTTATCCTTCCTGCTGCTGACGGGAGCGATACACCTCAGATGGTGCTGGATGGGCTTCTCCATCCTTTCCACAGAGAGAAATTCATTTTCTCTTGACAGTGACTCCCCAAACATGCCATCTGCTCTGATAGCACAGCAGCTTCATTAACCTAAACGAGATGAAATGACTCTGCATGTTATCCCTGCCCTCTGTGGCACACTCAGGGCATCGTGCAGCTTCTCCCTTGGCCATCAGTCCCTGTTTGCAGAGTGAAATACCCACCTGGGCATCAGGGTTAAAACAGAGCAGGAAAAACTGAAAGCAGCTAACCAAGAGCAGCAGAGGGGAAAAAATGGAGGTATTTTACAGCAAACAAATGTGATTGAATGGCAGAAATGACCAGATGACTGTGGCGTGGGGCAGCTGAGGGCTGTGGGAGGGACCCAGGGTGGGCTCTGTCTCTGCATGCTCCGTAATCCTGCCAGGAATGGTGATGGTGGTTGGACACTAACTCTTCCAGCATCACCAGTGGTTTAATGGTAGGGTTGGGGCAGATGTTAGCAGTTTCTGGAGGGCATTTCTGCATTTCCTTCCTGGGCCCCAGGTGTTTCTGCTGGTTGCTGCTCTGGGCTGAGCTCACTGACCAGGTCACTCTTCTCTCCACAGCGAGGGCCGGGGGAAGCTGACGGTGTTTTCAGTGAAAGCCATGTTAGCAACCATGTGTGGTGGTAAAATCCTGGACAAACTCAGATGTAAGTATTGCCAAGCAGGTGGAACCATTCTGTGACATGTTCTGTCCCCATTACTGGGCACACGTTTCACTGTCTGCAGTTCTGAACACCACCTTTTGGTCTGTTCAGCGTTCTTCATGCAGCAGGGGAGCTTCCTCGCTGAATGTTTTTGTTACCCATGCCATCTGCTGGCCACCAACCATACTGATGTCTTACTGAGTAGGCTTTGCAAGCACACTTGTGTGTTCTGAGTTCCTTGGGTGCTTCTTTAAATGTAAAACTTCAGGTCTGGTTTTTCTGAGAGCAATCTCGTTGCCATTTTCCCCATTTTGAGGAACTCAGGGGGGCTTCTGTGTATCTCCTGCTTCATCTGAGACACTCTGCATCTTCTCATTCTGTAATTCCAGCTTCTTATTTTTTTATCTCTTTTTTTTATTGTCCTTTCATCCATCTGACTTCTTTTTTTTCTTGTTTCCATAAGCCTCCTCCTGTATCAGCAGAGATATCCATAAACATCAGTTTTGTCCTGTAGTGCTAATTCTTGTTCTTCCCTCTTAGTAGCAGAGGGAGCTGCTGTCTGGGGTGTTTTTTCTTTGCACTCCCACCCTGAAAAGCTGGGAAGTTACTCTAACTGTCAGGGTCAGATTTTACTCCTCAGGTCTTATGATTTGCAGCTCACCCTAAATCCCCTTTACAGAGGTTATCTTGTAATGATTCATTCCTCCTGAGCTCTAAATAATAATCTAATTCTCTAGACTTTCTTTAATAAATAATTCTTTAGACTTTTCTACATCATTAAGCTTCTTTATTGTATTTGCTTTAAAACTAGCAACATAAAATCCTATAGCCTGCCTGGCAAGGTCTGAAAAATAGGTGGTGAGAAATCATTGCAGGCCTGTGTTAATGCTGAGTCTGCACGTGCTGCAGCAGCAGGAGCTGCCACCTTTTGTTGTCTGGTAGCAACTGTAAAACACTGATCAAAACCAAAGCTGCAGGTGGATAAAGGTCAGTGTGAGCAAAGGGGACAGGGGTGTATCAGGGCAGCTGAGGCTTCCTCAGTGTTTTTAACCAGTGGATTACCTCTGTAAAATGGGCAAGGTCAAATACTGGGGGAAAAAGAGGAAGGCATTGTCTCCTCAGTAAAGGATGACCTTGGTATCTAACCAGGAGAAGGTCTGAGGAGGTCACAGTAGATGAGCTGAGGCAGAAGGAGGAGCATTATTGCTGGAGTCAGTTCTGAAACACACCAAGAAACTGCCAGCAGGACCTTGTGGTGGGGAAGGGGATTCAGCACTGGAGACCAGTTACAGAACCAGTAACCTTGTGATGCTTTCAGAACCTGGGTAAGGTTGTGGAAGTTCCAGTACTGCTCAAGTTGCTGATGCAGAAGGTGGCTAGTTAAGATGCTTGCACCTCCAGCACACCTCGTGGTAGTCCCACTTAACTGGTGTGCCTAGCCTTAAAACCTGAAATGTGTGTGCAGTGCCCCAGTCTCTGTCTTTTCATAGTGTTTGCTTTTCCTCATAGCATTTGAAGCTTCCTTGTTCTTTTTACTGATTTTTTTGCCCCCATAATTTTCTTTATAACACCTCCTAGCTGATGTTTGAAGGTGTTGGAGGAAGGGCTGCAGACTGCTGTCACTGAGCAGTGCTGCTTCCTGCAGCTTTGTCATCCTCATGTTGTGCTTTTTCCTTCTTCTTCCCTGTCTGTCAGCTGCCCCTTACTGTGCACTGTCCTTCTGGGATCTTTCCTCCAGCATCTGCTGTCCCTTTTTTCTCAGAGCACTTCTCTCTGGCCGTGGAACATCATTGTCAAAGAGGATGTGACTTTGTAGTTGATGTGGGTTTCTTTTTCACTTTCTTTTTAATTCCTTTTTAAACTGAGTTCCTCTCCTTGTCCTTTCAGTGTGTCACTCACAGGGGCTTCCTCCCTTCTCATGGACCCACCTCAGCACTAGTCTCTAAAATGCTCAGGGTTGGACCAAGGCAGAGTCTTGGTGCCTGATGAGGAGACTTGTCCAGGAAAAGGGGATTTGGGCTACTTGGAATGGAGATTTTAGGAAATCTGTGCCAGAGGGAAAAGCTCTCTGGGAACCAGGGTAGGATTAGGCTGCTGGCTTTGCAGAGAAGGTGATAGGGAGGATTGCTGTGGGATGTGGGAGGAAATCAGGATAGCAGGTTCTGGTAAAGCTTCTGAGGGCAGAGAGAGAGCAAGTGGTCGTGGGGTTAGCAGAGTAAGCTGAGTATCCCCAGAACTGAAGAAAACAGCTGCCCTGGTAACTGCTGGTTACCTGTCTGTCTGAAAACTTCCTCATGGGCAAGGGCAGGAGAGGGGAGGAGCAAACACCCAGTGAAGTTTGGGAGGGCAGGGATGGGGACCTGCAGGCCTGGAGACTTGTCACAGGTTCTGGCCAAGCTGTGAGTAATAAAGGGTAGAAGTAGTTGACACAAGGATAAGTGAGATTTTATTGTTTGGGGAAACAGCCTTTGTGGAGGGATGCCTTAAAAAACCACAAGAGTTCATAAAAGGAGGCAAAAAGAAAAAGAACATATGTTCTGGCTTATACAGACTTCGTGGATTTCTGCAAGGAATCAAGAAGGTGCTTTATCAAATGCTTAAAGATATTTAAGGCTGATGAATGGTGAGGCCTTTGCAGGGGTAGGAGGTTGGCTAAAGGAACCAAAAAAGAGCAATAAAGATCCTTTTTGGACGTGGAGGTTGGTGGGTAGTGCTGAACTAAACTGTTTTTAACACTGTGGGAAATGATCTGGAAAAAGCAGTGAAAGGTGATGATTTGATGCAAAGGAAGTGGAGGTTGTGAACACTGAAGCAGACTGGGGAGTTGTTGGGTCCTCTGGGAATGCTGAGAAAGCCTGAAATAAAACGTGGGTGGAAGCCAGTGTGAATATCCCTAACCTGGCCCATGCTGGAGGATGAGTGTGAGCCTGGTGAGATGCACAGAAAGGGGAGAGCTCCTGGAGCTGTACTGCTGTGAGGATGTTGATGCTCTCTTTAGTGACAGCTAAAAACCACATGAAATGTTCCAGAAGGGAAGGACATGGAGAAGAAAGTGAAGAGGCAAAGGCACCATTAGATCCGTGGTGTCTGAGCTTTGAATGGACACTGCTCTGCTACCCCCACCCAGAACTCTGCCCTCCCCTCTTCTGAGGACACCAGAGGCCATCAAAGGTGGAGAAAGCTTTCTGCAGAGAGAACAAATAGAGCAGGATTCTGCAACTGGAAAGAAAAGTGATGGTGAAAGGAAACTTCACAAGAAGGGCTGTGCAGGGCTGTGCCAGGCTGCCCAGGGCAGTGGTGGAGTCCCCACCCCTGGAGGGGTTCCCAAGCCGTGGAGATGTGGGGTGAGGGACACGGGGCAGTGGGGACCTGGCAGGGCTGGGGGGGGTTGGACTGCAGGATCTGGAAGGTCTCTTCCAACCAGAAGGACTGTGTGGTTCTGTGACAGTGCTCTGTACAACCATGTGTTGGTGGGGAGCAGAAACCAGCTCTTCCCTTCCCCTTCCAGTACAAGAACTAGAGGGCAGTAACTGGAGCTGGCAGTGACAGATGGAAGCCCCAGACCCCAGGACTTCTTTAAACCTCACCAAAGGCTGGTGTCAGTGTCAGACACTCACACCACTCGGTTACTCCTTGAACCAGGTTCTCCAAAGGCAAATTCACCCAGGGTTGCTGAAGGCAAAGCTCCTCTCAGTGAGTGGAGGAATGTTCTGGGGAACGTGCTCGAGCCATCTGGTGTTGGATAAACAGACTTTTGATCTGATCTGCCTCAGCTGTTCTCAGATTCCTTATTTCTTCTGGTCCTTATGAATTTACTGCCATGGGTTTTTCCCTTTCCTGTCTTCCCCACCTGTCTCTCTGATTTCTGACCCATTTCATCACTCAGCTTCTTCTGTTTCCAGTTCACTTATTCCCCTGATACCCCCCAGCTCCTGAGCCACCTCTGCTCCCTTCCCTAAGCAGCTGCTCAGCTCCAGCCCAGCTGGAACATGAACCTTGCTGCAAATCCTGGAAGCTGTAAATCCGTTTTGTTCCCTCTTCTCATAATTTATATGAGTGATAGTGACTTGCTCTCTGTAGTTGCATCTGGACAGGGTTTTTTTTCCAGTTCTGAAGCTGTGAACAAATGGAGTGTGCTCCAGTCCACACACTGACAGCACAGACCAGGTGGAAGGTGCCCGTGGTACCTCTTGGCTGCCTCTGGAGAGGACTGTCCCCTGTGCCATGGTGCTCCTTGTGGAGAGCTTCACGTGGGGTGCAGGGTCAGGGCTGTGAATCCAGCCAGCTGCTGTGCCCTGGTTCTTGTCATCGCTTTTTAAGCCCCATAAATGCCATCTAAAATGTCCAATTTTGTGGATTCAGATGACTTCAGTTTGGCATTCCCTGTGAAGTAATTAGTGCTTCCTCCCCTGTCATCTCTGCGAGACAATTGCAAACAGAACTTCAGGCCAATCGAGGCTCCTTCCTGCTGCCTGTCAGGGCTGACTTCTCTGACAACCTGCTTGACCCATGTGCTGCTCCCTCCCCTCACTGGCTCCTTTTCCCTCTTGCCATCTGGCTCTGATAAGCCTTCAGTCCACCCTAAAAATTCATACAGTGGGGTAAGCTGACAAAAAAGTTAACCTGCTGTAGACCACAGAATCATGGAATGGGTTGGGCTGGAAGAGACCTTCAAGATCATCCAGTTTCCCCTCTTGCCATCTGGCTCTGATAAGCCTTCAGTCCACCCTAAAAATTCATACAGTGAGGTAAGCTGAAGAGCAGGTTTCACACAAAAAAGCTCCTTTTCCCCTCTTGCCATCTGGCTCTGATAAGCCTTCAGTCCACCCTAAAAATTCATACAGTGGGGTAAGCTGACAAAAAAGTTAACCTGCTGTAGACCACAGAATTATGGAATGGTTTGGGTTGGAAGGGACCTTCAGGATCATCCAGTCCCAACCCCTGCCATGGGCAGGGACACCTCCCACCAGAGCAGGTTGCTCCAAGCCCCATCCAGCCTGGGCTTGAACAGCTCCAGGGATGGAGCATCCACAGCTTCCCTGGGCAGCCTGGGCCAGTTCTCACCACCCTCACCTTCCTCCTTTCTCATCTATATCTCCTTCTTCCAGTTCGAAGCCATTCCCCCTCATCCTGTCACTACCAGCCCTTGTACAAAGTCCCTCCCCAGGTTTCTTGTAGGCCCCCTTCAGATACTGGGAGGCTGCAAGAAGTTCTCCCTGGAGGTGAATTAGCCTGATTGTGGGGTTTGATTGTGAGGAGAGGTTATTTAGGTGTTGGCAGGAGTGGGGGTAAAAGGGGAGTTATTTGGTTTGGGCCTAATCAGTGGCACAAAGTAGTAGTAGTAATAGTGATGTGTGGTTTGTGGTGGTATCACAACACGTGTACAATGTGGATCCCTCCAGTGACTGGCCTTAGTTGCTCATCTATCCAGTAAGAGGTTCTTGCAGCCTCTTAGATCCTCTGGTCTCTGCAGTATCTGTCCCAGACTTTCAAGCTCTCTGGTACCTAACTTTGAAACTCTAATGAGTGAATTTTCCTCTAAAGGATGCTGGTGGCCACCAGAGCACACTGCTGGCTCATGTTCAGCTTACCAGCTCAAAACCCACAAGGACCTTTCCAGCAGAGCTGCTCCCACCTTGGGTCACCATCAGAGTCTTTCCCTTCCCACAGGCAGGACTTTGGTCCTTCTGAACTTCCTACAGTTCCTGCCAGCCCATTCCTCCAGCCAGTCCAGGTCCTGCTGCATGGCTGCCCTGGCCCTCAGGGCCCTCAGCTGGCATCACCCTCCCAGCTTGGCATCACCTGCAGACTGGCACCTCTCCCAGGCCACTGATAGACCTGGTGAGCAGGATGCATCCCAGGACAGGTTCCAGCAATTGTCCACTTGTGACTGGGCCCTACACAGAACTTGACCCGTGATCCACTTTGTCTGAGACATCCCAGGCTGGGCCCTGGGGTGCTGTGGGGAAACACAGGGTGTATTCTTTCTGCTTTGCCCAGGTGGAGGGGAGCAGCACCTCCAAGCCCAGACATCTCCTCCCAGGAGGCAGTTGGGGTGGCCAGGTGGGGTTTAGCCTCGGGAGGTCCATGCTGATGGATCCCACTCTGTTTCTTCCCAGTCCACTTTCTTTCCTGTTTTCCAAATCCTGTTCTGGAATTGCTCCATGATTTGCTCCAAGATTTGCTCCATGGGTTTCCCAGGGACCAAAGTGGGGCCAGCTGGCCTGTGTGTCCCTGGGTGGCCCTTCTGGCCTTAATACCTTGGATTGATGCCCAAAAACCTGCACACACACACACACACACAAAGCACAGTCAAACCAATTCATCTGTTAAATTCATTCCCTTGGCTTTTACTGATATCAAACCTAGTACTTGACAAGTATTTTATGAGTGTATATGATAAAAATCAATGGCTTCAGAGGAGCTGTGGGACATGGGCTAGAGTCAGGGTGGGGACCCTGGAAAAGAAGGGTGCCAGGTTTTTGTTGCTTTGGCTTTAACTTCTTCAGAGTGATGGTAGAACCTCGAGCTGAAGCTGGGCAGAGCACTGGGAGGGTGCCTGTGCTGGGAAACTCAGTCTGGCTGGTTTGGGCAGCTGAAGAGAGGCTGGGGGGGACTGCTGGGCTGCTTCAACAAGTGATGCTCCAAGCTCTGTTCCTCCTGTAAAAGTTCCACTGCAACCTCTGGCAGAACAGAACCAGTGAGTTGCACAAGGACCACTTCATGTTGGTACTTTGGGGACTGAGGGGTGTTCTTTGTGCTTCTCCACTTTTTTATCCTCTCTGGTTTTAAAAAAAAAACTGTTTCTAGCACAGTAGCATAGAACCATAATGTTCTAAGAGAACTAAATTACAAACCTTGTCATCAGGAGACAATGAGCCTGTTGTAGCCCTGAGGAGAGCTCTTGAGAAATTACACTGACAGCCTCTGTTTGGCTGGAGGGTTTCTCTTGGAGGGTCATTTACTGCCCTTTTGTACTTAGATGCCCTACTAATCGTTATCTTTTCCAGTTTCTCTGGTAATTTCCCATGTGGAAGTTCCCCATAAGTAAATGAATTTAACTTGACTTTGACTACAAACTCACTTTTTTTAATGACTGCAAGATATAGGTTAGTGGAGTCTGGCTTTTTACTTTCCCCTTGATATAGCCTGTTCTCTTTTCTCATTTTCAATTTATCTCCACAGCTTTAATTACTGTCTCTTTAAAATCATTTAAATCTTGCCTGCTGCTCAGTTCAGGTTAATGGGCTGGGAATACCCAGATTATTTCTGGCCTTTTTTAAATACAGGTCCTGTCACGTTCCAGCCTGTTCTGCCAGTCCCACCCTGACAGGTTTATTTCTAGAGCTTCAGGGTTTTGTGGCACATGTGCCAGCCCTGGCGTGGTTCTGATCTGGAAGGGGTTAGGATTCTGGAAGTTTGCCTCTCTAATTAGTTTTAATTGTTCCATGCTTTTCATTTGTGTGCATTTTGATCCTGACTTCCCTTCCACGTACAATTTTCAGGTTAAATTTAATTTTTCTGCTTGGCTTCATTTTCTAAAATGCAGCATTCTCCTCAAGCCCCATTTCTATGATTTTTTCCCCCATTATTCCTGGGGTTTATAAGATTATTCCACAAGGGCTTCAGACCTTCACTTAAAGCTCCTCTGTTCAGGCAGTGATAGGAATCCCAGACAGCTCTATCAGCCTTAATTAACTCAGGTACTGTGGGCTGCTGCATTCAGGGGACAGGAACAATGCTCCAGTTTACCAGCAATGTGCCTGTCTGGAACAGGTTGGGGTTTTTAATGGACTGACTTTTGATCACTTAAGCTTATTTTCAGTCAGCATACCCCTGTTGGTGTTTAATTACTGGTGGTGCCTTAAATAACCTCATAGATGATTCATTGTCTGTCTCTGAAGAATTCTGGTATCTGTCACATCTTGGAAGATTTTAGGTCACACTAATATTAGTGCTCTTACTACAGAGATCTTTTTTGTGGGGTAATTTAACTCTGCAAGTATTTCTGAGACCAAATTTTGCTGTTTGAGAGATCTGCCTCTTCCAGAGAGATGTTTGATCCCAAGACAGTTCTGCTTCACCTGTAGGCAGCTGTCCTAATATTTTATATGACATCATTGTCTTATTGTGCTGTCTGCAAATCTTCTCCTGTATTTTTACCTTTCCTGAACCATGAGAGCTGGGAGCTGGGGGTTGGTGTATGTGGAACAGCTGGAGCTGAGCTTTGTGCACTGAGGGGATAGGGAGACTCCAGAGCAGGAGGCCAGGACACATCCTGCCACCCATGTGCCCACAGTCCCAGGATCCAGCGTGGTGGGGTCAGGAGGGACCTCTGGGGATCAGCTCATCCCACCCCTGCTCCAGCAGCTCACCCCCAGCAGGGTGCCCAGGGGCACAGCCAGGAGGGTTTGGGATCTCTCCAGAGCAGGAGCCTCCACAGCCTCTCTGGGCAGCCTGGGCCAGGCTCTGCCACCCTCCCAGCAGAGAAGTTTCTCCTCCTGCTCAGGTGGCACCTCCTGGGTTCCAGTTGGTGCCCGTTGCCCCTTGTCCTGTCCCTGGCACCACGGAGCAGAGTCTGGCCCCAGCCTCTTGCCCCCCGGGTCCGTTTAGCTCTTGCTCAGCACTGCTCAGATCGCCTCTGAGGCTTCTCTGCTCCCGCTCAGCAGCCCCAGGGCTCTCAGCCTGGCCTGGCACAGAGAGGCTCCAGCCCCTCAGCAGCTTCCCAGCCTCTGCTGGGCTCTCTTCAGCAGCCTCTGGGCTCTCTGGAACTGGGGAGCCCAGAGCTGGCCCCAGTACTCCAGAGGTGGCCTCACTAGCTAGGAGCATGGCATGGGAGCAGAAATACCCCCCAAACTGCCCTCCTCCCTTGTGTGACCAGCCTCCCTCCCTCCTTTCTCCATAGATACACAGGATTGCTGAACATCTTCCTCAATCCTCTTTTTGGTTTCAGAAATATTTCAGCCCCACAGCAGTAATTCAGAAGCATAACTTCTCTCATCACAGACGTTCCAAGGATAGAAGTTCCTGTTTTAGCTCTTCAGCTTGTGCATCATCTGTGGTACAACACGAGCTCAGATCTCCCCCATCCACTCAGCTGCAGGGCTCGGGGGGTTCAGCCTTGTTGGTGGAGCTCCTCACAGCCCCTCCTGACTTTCTTCTGATGCTCTCTTAATTAAATTCAACCCCCCTGCAGGGACAGGGACATCTGCAGCTAGAGCAGGGTGCTCAGAGCTCATCCAACCTCCCCTGGGATGGTGCCAGGGATGGGGCAGCGACCACCTCTCTGGGCAGCCTGGGCCAGGGGCTCAACACCCCCAGTGTCAACAGTTTCTTCCTTCCAGTTTTGCCTGTTTTGCCTTTGTGATTCTCACAATTTCTACATTCCAGGAGCCTTCACAGAGAGTGGAGGCTTGGTGTTGTTTTATTTTGAAGGTGCACCCATGAAGATGTGATGTTCTGTGACTCTTGGGACACCTCTTAGTCTCTCCCTTCTCCCTGTCACAGCTAAGGCACTGGCAGAATCTCTTCTCAAGACTGGGTGAGACAGGGTGGAGGAAAGGGAAGATTTCTATCACAGCATATTCAAATACATTCATGTACACATTTTATCTTGCTAGCAAGTGATAACAAATTAAGATTAAACCAAAACAGCTTCTTAGGCTTTGGATGGGTTGAAATACTCTTTTTATTTTGCTGTAGCAAGCACGTATTTACCGTGGGGTTTTATTATGTTTTCTTACAGATATTTTCTCTCAGATATCAGATTCCAACGGGCTAATGATCTTTACCAAGTTTGACCAGCTGCTGAGGGAGGTGCTGAAGCTCCCCACGGCCGTGTTTGAGGGACCTTCCTTCGGCTACACGGAGCACTCCCTCCGGACCTGTTTCCCCCAGCAGGTGAGAGCTTCCCAGGCTGGACCTGGCCTCCTCCTGGCCTCCTCCTGGAGAGGGCTTTCCTGGGGCTGGGGGGGTGTGCTGGGATCCCCTCTGGATAACCCCAGGGCTTTTAAACCACTCTGGATAATTCAGCTTGGTGCGTCGAGGTTGGCAGCAGGTGAAGGGCTTTGCAGGGCTGTGGTTTGTTCCCCCTCCCTGGGCACTTCTGCTCCCTGTCAGAACAGCAGCACGGGTCACCTGGTTCTTTTTTAAAACACAAAACACATGGGTTTTACTGTTTTCCCATGATTTTTTTATTTTTTAAGCCTTCTGAGTGTGTTAAGAGTATTCATTTCCACAAATCACTTGCAAGTTGCTTGGGTCTGTACAAAAGCAAAACATTCTGTGCACACAGTTTATTTTTAAATGTTTCACTCTTGTGCTGACTGTTTGGCTGGTTTTTTTCCCAAATATTTCCATTACATGTAAAATTTGGTGTAGATGTTGAAATAATGATGTCGAAAGAGCTTTTTCATTCCTTATACATTTTAGTTGTAACTTAATTCTTCCAAGGATTTGTTTCTAATTAGAGATAATGTAAATAGTGGAAATAATCCTTAAATCAACTATAAATATGAACCTACATCATCTCAGACCTAAAATGAAATGTTTCAGCTCTGGTCATGATTATGATATGAAGTGTTTCTGAAGTCTCTAGAATTTATAGTCACTTCTGCCCAGCTGAATTAGCAGTTGGTGCATTTGCAGCACAGGGCAGTGGGGAGCAGCCCCTGGTGCAGGACCAACGAGGGCTCCAGCTCGTCTGGGAGCTGCTGAGGATGGAGTTTTGTGTCACCAACAGTGAGATGAATGTCTGACAATTTCTGTCTCACTGCTGGCTGAGGTGTCCCCAGCTGTGCCACCCCTCCTGTGAAGGCACTGCCAGCCCTGGCTGCATGGAACCTCAGTGAGGGGACTGGGGGGTCACCCCCTAAGCTCCACGTGCTCTCTCCACTCTCTGCAGAGGGAGTAGGGGGGATCTTTGGGGTTTCAGAAGCCTGTGCTGTGGAAGTGCCCCTTTCCCTCTTGCCCATGAGGAGAGGCTGCAGTAGCCAGCTGGGCTTGCACTGGCCCAAGCTTCCAAAGGTGTTTGGTGCAAATCTCACCATGGTAACCAAGGGAGGGATAACAGCTGCCCATGAATATGAGCCAGTGTGTGCCAAGGAGGCCACCAGCATCCTGGCTTGGGTCAGCACTGGTGTGGCCAGCAGGAGCAGGGCAGGAATTGTCCCCCTGGACCGGGCACTGGGGAGGCTGCACCTCGAATCCTGGGGTCAGTTTTGGGCCCCTCCTTCCCAGAAGGACCTGGAGGGGCTGGAGCGTGGCCAGAGAAGGGCAACGGAGCTGCGGGGGAAGGGTCTAGAGCCCAAGTGTGGGGAGGAGCAGCTGAGGGAGCTGGGGGTGCTGAGCCTGGAGCCTCAAGGTTCCCCAGGGGAGGTTTCAGTTGTCCCTGAGGAACAATTTCTTGCCCTGGAGGGTTGCCCAGGGCTGGGCCAGGCTGCCCAGGGCAGTGGCGGAGTCCCCACCCCTGGAGGGGGTTCCAAGCTGTGGAGAGGTGGTGCTGAGTGACCTGTTTTAGCAGTGGGCTGGGTAGAGTGAGGTTGATGGTTGGACTTGATGATCTTAAGAGTCTTTTCCAACTAAACCAATTCTGTATTTGCATGATTTGCATGTGCCTTGACTACAGCTTGGCTTAGCACTCTTTGACTTTGGCTCCCATGACCAGTAAAGAGAATTCTTCATATTGATTCACTTTTAGAAATTCTTTTGCTCTCTCTTTATTCAGCAAACCAAAACCCCTCATGTGAGGCCAAGTTTGTGGAGAGTGGTTGATGTTTTTTTAATTAATCCAGATCCACACTGTACCCTGAGACAGTTCTTTCATTTATTTGAAAACATTGAAACCAAGAGGTCCTGGAAAGTAGGTGGATAATCTATCTTAGATTTAATTCCATTTTCTGATGGCTCCCTGATCTGAAAATGAGCTTCCCAGCAGTATTTCTGTGCTGTTCTCCTTTTACAGCCTATTATTTTGCTGAAATCCTCCCCAGATGGTGTGGGGAGAGCTGTGAGGTTTCACACTTTGGCATTTCCCTGTGGCACAGCAGCTTCACCTGGAGGAGTCAGGCAGAGTGCTGGGACCTGCCCTGTGCTCTGAGGCCAGCTGGAATGGGCTAACCACACCCATGCTGCCAGACTCCCTCAGGCAGGGGGCTTACATGGGAGGTGTTTATGAAGGATCTCTCCTGGCTGATATTAACACCCAGCCTGGAGGCTGGAGTGGGGAGGGAGAGCGAGTGGTCAGGGCAGCTCAGGCTGAGTGCCATGGGAGCACCTCCAGGGGTGGGTTCCAGCACCAGGAACGTCACTGGCTGTCACTGGAGCTGCCAGGAGACAAATCCTTCCTGGCCAGCTGTGGGTCCTGGCTCCCCTTGGGGTCCTGCTCCTGGGAGCTGCTATTTTGGGTGCCAGAGGCCAGTCGTGTGCTGCTGCCCAGGGGGAGGGCAGATGGGCAGAGGAGAGTCAGGGGCTGTGATCTCCACAGCTGGCTTCCATTGCTTGGGTCACAGATGGAACAGTTCAGACTCGTTGCCCACGCAAAGTGGAGTTTATTGGCCAGAGCCACGTTCTCTGTGATGGCTTCCAGGTGTCCAGAGAGCTTCCAGCAAGGGTCCACTGTTCCAGCTCAAGTGGAGGCTCCCACAGATGTAAGATACCTTGTCAGGCTTGGCTCAAGGCTTCTGTTTACTGGCTACAGTGCATCTGTTTGTCACAGATGTGGTATCACCATGATGTCCTCTGACAGCTCAGGACCTTCTCACTGCTCAAAGGGAGCCTTTCTTCTTGGCCTTTGAGGAACACCCTTGTCTGTAGGAGCAGGCAGCTCTTTGCCAAGTTCTAGGAGCCTCTGAAGATCTAGTCCAGGCCCCTTGCCATGGGCAAGGACATCTTCAGCTACATCAGGCTGCTTAGAGCCCCATCCAACCTGCCCTTGAGTGCTTCCAGTGATGGAACATCCACGGCTTCTCTGGGCAACCTGGGCCACCCCATCATAAAAAATAAAATTCTTCCTCATGTCCAATCTCAATCTCCCCTCTCCCACTTTAACAACCTGGCCTCTTGTCCTGTCCCAACAGCCCCTGCTCCAAAGTCCCCCCCAGGTTTCTGGCAGGCCCCTGGCAGTCCTGGCAGCCCCCAGCAGGTCTCCCCAGCTGGAGCCTTCTCCTCTGGGGCTGCCCCAGCCCAACTCTCTCCTGCTGGGCTCCCAGCAGAGGGGTTCCCCCCTCGGGGCATTGCTGGGGCTCCTCTGGCCCCGCTCCAGCAGCTCCCTGGCTCTGCTGTGCTGAGGACTCCAGAGCTGCCCCAGCACTGCAGGGGGGTCTCCCAGAGCTGGCAGAGGGGCAGGATCCCCTCCCTGCCCTGTGCCCACGCTGCTGGGGGGCAGCCCAGGCTGGGGGGGCTCCTGCCCAGCTCCTCCCCCCCAGCACCCCCAGGACCTTCTCCCCAGGGCTGCTCTCCAGCCTGGGTTGACACCAGAGCTTGTCCTGGCCCATATGCAGGACCTTGATCTCTCTGAAGTTCACCTGGACCCACCTCTCCAGCCTGCCCAGGTCCCTCTGGATGGATCCCACCCCTCAGCTGTGTCAGCTGCAGCACTCAGCTTGGTGTCATGTGCCAGCCTGCTGGTGGTGCCCTGTCCCCCTGTCCATGCCACTTGGGCATTGGGCCAGTGACTCTGGATGTGCCCATCCAGCCAGTTCTTTACCTGTCCAACATCAAACTCATATCTGCCCAATTTAGTGGCCAGAATGTTGTGGTGGACTGGGTGAAAGACCTTGGAGGAGTCCATGGACCCCAAGAGAGAGGAGAGCAGGTTAAATGTGTGTTGTTACTGGTAGCCCAGAGGCTGGCTTGGCTTTGGGGAGCAGGGCTGGGCTGCCAGGTGAGGTCACTGCTCCTTCCTGCCCAGGCTGTGTGTCTGGTGGCCTGTCTGGCAAAGAGGTTCTTGGACTCTCTCACAGGAGCAGTGAAGGGTTCAGGAAAAGCTTTTCATTTACTGAGCAGGGAGACTGGAACCAGGACCCCTTGGAGAAGCTGGGAAGAGTAAGATGGAATGTGTCCCAGAATTTTCATCAGTGGGGGCTGGGATGGGTAATTGGAGTTCCCTGTGACCCCCAGGGCAGTTACCTGCACAGGTACTGGGCAGGTACATTTACCTCTTGCCCTGGGCTGTCCTGAGCTGGTTTCCTCCCCCTTGGCCCACCTGTTTCTCTTTGCAGGAGACATTTTCTCCCACTCACTCCAATTTGAAACCTTAGCAAATACAACTCCTAATGTGCCTGACTTCCTTCTGAGGATTCCATTTCAATTTGGGGTTTATTGAGGGCTCTTTAAAACCTCCCCCAAGTTCTCCCCTGGCCTTTTTCTTTTCTTATTTTACCTTTAATAAAACCCACTGACTGGGTGAGGATTGGCTGTAGTTACTCTTTTGTGTGTCTGCTTTTTTCACTATGTTTGAAATATTGTTTTCTCCCCTGTTAATTGTGTTAATAACCTCCACTCACATTTGTTGGGATTCCTCTTCAAAATAAGAATCTTTAACTGCACCTCAGGACCCCATCCTGACTGGCCACAGGACCCCATCCTGACCGGCCAGTCATCCATTTCTTGGAGCTTTCTGTTTATCATTTATCTTTGTCTGATTGCCCTGTCTATGCCAACACCTTGTTCACAGTGTTCCTGTTTGCACAGTACAGATTGAAACTCCCTGAGCAAAGGTTTTTATCTCTTTACAGCCTATGAAACATTTCTGGTAGACAGAAATTGAGTCAGAGAGATTTTAAGGCTGAAGTAGGTTTTGGCCTATATAAATTTGGATTTTTTCTTCTAATTCAATTGTATTTCTCCTTCCTTTGCAGAAAAAGATCACTCTAAACATGTTTTTGGACACGTTGATGGCTGACCCACCTCCTCAGTGCCTTGTGTGGCTGCCTCTCATGCACAGACTTGCCCACGTTGAAAATGGTGAGTGGGATGTTTGCTCGTGTGGGACATCTGGGCAGGGCAGGAGTTCTGCTCAGCACCCACAGGCACGCTGTCCTTCCTCCCACCACAGAGCTCTCCAGGCCTTCAGCCCCACCACTGGAGCCCTCTCAGTCCCAGAGCATCAAGCCCAGGCTTTTGCTGGAGCAGAAAGTGTTCCAGGCTTCTGGGGTGAAGCCTGATTCTGTGGGAGATGAGCAGCAGCAACACAAAGCTAGATCAGTTTTGGAGTTCTAACACTGCCAGCAGCAGAAGAGGAAAAAAAAAGCAGCAGAAAAATGATATTCTCTAAATGTTGATGATTGTTCTGAAAGTTAAAAAGCTCCACTTGCACTGGGCTGTAACAGATGCTTTCAAGTGCTGACTCTCAAAGATCTTGGTACCTGTTCAAGTGTCTGCCTTGAGCAGCATTTGAGCAGAGCCACTTCAGGGCTCACTCTGGGAGGGGAGTGCTGAGCTCCTCTCACTGCCAGGCCTCTTCTCAGCTAAAATTTCCTGGTTTACTGTCTGTGGAAAGTATTTAAGGAGCACTAAGGGATGGAAAAGTCAAGGTTAATGGTGAAGGAGTCATCTGGCCAAGAGGGCTTTGTGGAGTTCAGGGGATTTCCTGCAGAAGATTGTGCAAGTGTAGGAAAACTATTTGTTTGGTTCAGTGGCCAAAAAGGTGCTGTGGTTTTAGCTTCCTCTGCAGTTCCACACACTGTAAGTGTCTGAAGTTTGGTATGTGAACCTGAAGGGGAAAAACCCAACCTTTGAATTCCTCACCCAGAGAGTAAACTTCATCTTTCATTTCCTTCTCCTCAGAACAGCATCATGTCATCATCCTTCAGCAGCCCTGCCCTGGTGGCTGCTGCCCCCTCTGCTCCATGCCCCCGGGGTCATCCAGGGTGTCCTGGCTTCCTCCTCCTGGGACACAGGTGGCTCAGCTCCAGACTCTCCCAGCTCTCCACAGCCCCAGCCTGGCCCCAGCAGTGTCCCTGGCTCCTGTTCCCCTCCCTGCCCCGTGGTGTTTGCACCCCAGAGGTGCTGAGTGGTGCTGTGGGTTTGATACTCTGCTTTTGCCCCAGGTTCCACTCTCTGCCCTTGGTGCTCTTGCAGAGCACATCTGCATGTTGGGAGGGGAATCTGCAGCTGTGCAGCAGGGACCAGGGTTGGAGCTGTGATGCCCAATGGGCCTTTTCTTCTTTATTGCAGCAGAGGAGAAGGTGAATTGCCCAATTGCTCCGTGTGTTTCCAGACACTTCCTGATAACTGTGGGTCTCATTGAAGTGGTTGAAAAGAATTTTGAGGGGAGCCATGTCATAGAGACTGTGGAGACACTGCTCCTGAGGAGGGGATCAAGGGCACCCTCAGCAAACTTGCAGACCAGTTTAGGCAGGGGTGTTGGTCTGCTTGAAGGTCAGGAGGCTCTACAGAGGCTGGAGTGATGAGCCAAAGCCAGTGAGGTGAGGTTCAACCAGGCCTGGGGCTGGGTCCTGACAACCCCCTGCAGCTCCAGGCTGGGGCAGAGGGGCTGGAAAGTGCCCCAGGGAAAGGCCCTGGGGGGTTGGTGGACAGGGGCTGGAGAGGAGGCAGCGTGTGCCTGGGTGGGGTAGAGACCTTCAAGAAGGCAACTTCAAGATGATATAGTTATAACCCTCCTGCCATGGGCAGGGACACCTCCCACCAGAGCAGGTTGCTCCAGGCCCCATCCAGCCTGGGCTTGAACACCTCCAGGGATGGAGCATCCACAGCTTCCCTGGGCAGCCTGGGCCAGGGGCTCAGCACCCTCACAGGGAAGAATTTCTTCCTCATTTCTAATCTAAATCTCCCCTCTTCCAGTTTGAACCATTCCCACTCGTCCTATTGCTACAAATTCTTGCACAAAGTCCCCCCCAGGTTTCTGGCAGGCCCCTGGCAGTCCTGGCAGCCCCCAGCAGGTCTCCCCAGCTGGAGCCTTCTCCTCTCAGCTGCCCCAGCCCAACTCTCTCCTGCTGGGCTCCCAGCAGAGGGGTTCCCCCCTCGGGGCATTGCTGGGGCTCCTCTGGCCCTGCTCCTTCTGGACCCATGTCCTTCTTGTGCTAACAACAGCAGAAACCACGTTTCAGAAAGAAGCTTCTGCAAAGACCTTTCAGTCCTGCTGCCCTGGCAGGTCCCTTCCTGCCTGTGGGGACGTGGGCAGCCTAAAGTCAGAATTTCTGTGTGACCTTTTCACAGAGCACAGGAAGATGTTGAGCTGCCACTCAGCTGAGGCTTTGCACAGCTCAGGCTGGCTCTTGGGAAACACTTGTGGTTTTTCATGCCCTGGTTAGAGCCCTCATCTGACTTGGCCCCATGGAGCTTGTCCCACGGGGGGGATCCTTTGAGCTTTTAAGCCCAGCACTCCTTCCCTGGTTAGAGCCCTCATCTGACTTGTCCCACGGGTGGTATCCTTTGAGCTTTTAAGCCCATCACTTCTCTGGATCCATGTTCTGTGGTGTGCTCCACCCTTGCTCTGTTTTGCAGGTCTCTAAGCTTCCCAGGGGTGTGCAGATTGTTTCACAGGGTTCTTTTCCATAGGCTGCTGTACAGCACCTGCCAGGTTGCTCCTCTTCACCACAGCCTGCTGCTGGCATGGCAGCTGCCCAGCAGATCCACGTGCTCCCTAGATCTCAGGCTGCAAAGCACCATTCCATCCACTGCACCCACCAGCCCCAAGCAGAACCTTGTGGCAGGGTGTCTTGTCTGCAGGGGTGCTCTGAGAACCACGTGGAAGAGAACAGCAGAGGGAAAGTTTGTCTGCAGAGTCATGGCAAGTTCCTCAACACGTTTCTCCTCCAACATTCATCTGTCTCAGGCAGGGTTTGAACAGTGGGGGTTTTTCCAGGTGCCCCCTGGAACATTTTCCTGTGGAAATACATAAACTGTTCACTTTCAGAAAAAGGAAAACAAAGAAGAAAAAGAAATAATAAAAAACAATCACAGGCACCCTCCCCAGACAAACCATCCAGCAGTGCAGCCCTGGCTGTGCTGGTGGGAGGTAATCTCCAGTGCTGATTGTCCCACTTTGGTCCTTACTGGTCATTCTGGGCACTTCTTTTCTGCAGTCCATGGAGTGCTCTCACCACTCTGCTCTGGAGAGATCCCAAACCCTCCTGGCTGTGCCCCTGGGCACCCTGCTGGGGGTGAGCTGCTGGAGCAGGGGTGGGATGGGATGATCCCCAGAGGTCCCTCCCAGCCCCACCACGCTGGGATTCTGTTCAGTGTGTTTACAAAAAATATGCATGACCTGGAATAAGGCCCTTTGCCCATTAGATCTTTCCATTTGGGCAGTTAACAGCTCTCTGGGCTCTTGCCAACGAGACCACATCCAAGTTACAGTCCTTTCATCTGCTCTGTATCTCCCACTGTCATGGGAGCAGCACAGGAGCCCAGGTTCCCAAGAGTTACTGAGGCCCCATGAAAAACTGATGGCATTTGATGCCTGTTTCCTGTTTTCAAGGTCAATTATTCTGTCAGGGAGAAACATGAGGTGGATTTGGTAAATGCTGGCCATGGCTTTTTGCTCTGTTGTTTTTCAGGTGCTATAGTGCTTTGCTCTATTGCCTGTTGTGGGACATCTTCTACCCCTTAAAATGACATGAGGAGCCAGTGGTTCCACGTGGGTGATCTCACACCCTTGTAAGGACCATAGTTACACTTCTGCTAATGACTCTTTTGAGTCCCCTGCCAGTTTTCTCACATTCTGTTTTCCTTTGTTCCTGAATATTTTAACCCTCGTGAATAACTTGTCCCTCTTTTCACTTCTGTAGACTTCCTTTTGGATTTTAGGTTATTAAGGAACTCTTGAGTCTTGCCCACGTTGGTCTTTTACTACTGTCAGCTCTTTCCTCTGCACTAAGGGAGTTTGTGCTTCATTCTTGAGCAGAACTTTAAGGAACTGACAATTCTCTTAACTCATTTTTCCTCTTGAATTGTCTCTTCTTGTAGCTTACCTACTAATTCTCATGAGTTTACTGAAATCTGCTGCACTGAAGTGTTGTCTCTCTTCCATTTCTTAAAATTCACAAAATTACTCTGTTGACATGTTAACTTGAGATCATTTGTCACCTTTTCCAGCCAGTTTTTCTCTGCTGTTTGATACAAATCTAGAAATCTCCTTTTTCATTGCTTCCTCTACCTGTTCTGTTAAAAAGGTCCCAGAGAAGCAGCATCTCTCTGGTTACTTTATTGCCTAAGTGAGAGTTGTGCCAACTCTCACTTAGAACAGCTAAGTCATAATTCTTATCACAGGTCAGAACTTCAGACTCTAATTATTTCTCTCCCCTCTTTCAGTAGTTTAGAACAGGCAGATTTCTCTCCTCTCTCCTCCTCTCTTCTCTTCTCCTCTCTTCTCCTCTCTTCTCCTCTCTTCTCCTCTCTTCTCCTCTCTTCTCCTCTCTTCTCCTCTCTTCTCCTCTCTTCTCCTCTCTTCTCCTCTTTTCTGGTTCTTGAGATGCAAGACTAGATTGGATGAGGCTCTGAGCAACCTGGCCTGCTGAGAGACGTCCCTGCCCATGGCAGGGGGGTTGGAACTCGATGATCTTGCAGGTCCCTTCCACCCCAAACCATTCCATGATTCTGTTCAGGTACAGATACACTGGGGGTCCCTTCAGTTTAAGGTAGAGAGGTGCCAGAGGGGCAGCTCCTGGTCGAGGAGGAGCAGGGGAGGTCCCTCACTGAGAGGTGGTTCTGAGCAGAAGGCCATGGTGGAGCTGTGGACTGCCCTGCTCTGGGAGGAGCTCTCTGGTGGCTCTGGGGCAAAGCCCCCTCCTCGGGCAGGACGGAGCCCGTGTGGCTGGGGGCACCCTGCCCTCCCTGCTGCTGCCTGGGGCCCAGTGCTGCTGGGCTGCCACGGGGACCTGTGGCTGTGGGCAGATCCGAGGTGGGTGTCCTGAGGAAGGGATGTTGGACTTGCCAGGAGCAGCTGCTGTGCTGCCATCAGCTCCAGTGCAGGGTCCCTCCCCCTGAGGCTGCCCTCTCTGCACCCCATCCGTGGCTGCCAGAGAACCCAGCTGCTTTGGTGGCTAAGGGCCTGGGTGGGGGGGTTGGAAACTCTACTGACGTTTGCTGCCGGAGGTTTCCCTGATGGGTGTTTTCTTTCTCTGCCCCCTCTCCCCAGTCTTCCACCCCGTGGAGTGCTCGTACTGCCGCAGCGAGAGCATGATGGGCTTCCGGTACCGCTGCCAGCAGTGCCACGGGTACCAGCTCTGCCAGAGCTGCTTCTGGCGCGGGCACGCCAGCGGCCCCC